ACCATTTTCTTCCATTATAGAATATTTTTTCTTACACGCTCTCTTGGCACCTCGTTCTTATTCTTGTTCGGGATATTACAGCAAGACAGGGAAGTAGTACAGACTAAGGGTAATTTCGAAGGGTCGCACCGAGTATGCACTGATTTGTTAATCTTCTATTTTCAATCTTCTATCTTCTTCTTCTATATATATAAAAATGAATTGCTGTTCGTTAGTCTCGCTAAAACTCGAGAATGGCTGGACCGATTTGGCTAATTTTGGTCTTGAATTATTTGTAGAAGTCCAGAGAAGGTTTAAAAGATAGATAAATATGAAAATGCTCAGAATTAAATGAAAATGACAATTTTGTTTTTCCTTTGATGTGTCCCCCGTCGGACGGATTCCTTTTGCTTGTTTTAAGTTTATTTTATATAAAAGTTTAGGTCTTTTATTTATCGATTGAGGCAGTACGAAGTTTCCTGAGTCAGGTAGTTGTTAATAAGTAAAACGTACAACTATGTACGTAGACATTATTATCTTTCGTACTAATGTCACTCTCCCCTTAGTGTTGCCGGGGCCTTCAGTTTATAAATTCCACTATGAATTTCTTAGTTTCGTGTCTCACAATGAACAGCCCGCCTTATATTAAAATTTATAATGTCAAACTATCGTCATACGTCGTACGTAGTATCTCGTTACCGCGTCCGAATGTTGGTCAATCACCCTCGTTGTACATTTAAGATTATAGTTTAAACGTGTTTATGCTACATTGCAAAAATCGCATCGGGGTTGTGTTGGCTAATGGTTATAACTGTGCTCTGAATTCGCATTTGTTTCTTTTCATCGTGGCGGAAAAATCAAATATACAGTCGTCCTATGTTGAAAGTTGTCAGGCTGGGTGCCAGCTCCGCAGTCGATTCTAGTCTCGGGAAGCACGTCCACTAGACCGAGCGATTAGACCCATTTTAGATTCCGATAGAGGCACCCGTCACGCGCGGACGTGCTCATCGACCACTCGATCGCCCGGTCTTTGTTCGCCCGGCTTTTGTTAGCCCGGCCATTGTTCGCGCGGCCTGTGTTCGTGGTACATCTGCCGACTAAGTGCTCTTCCTGGAAGTTTTTATTTGTTTTGTTTCCTTTTGTTATTTCTGTGTTCGTGGTACATCTGCCGACAAACTGTCTTCCTGGAAGTGTTTAATTGTTTTGTTTCTTTTTGTTATTTCCGTTTTGTTGTGATTTTTNCACGTACTGACAAGCACAGTGTGGGACGGCCACCTACCAAATGGACCGACCACCTGGTGTGAATCGTTCGGTCACGCTGGATGCAGGTGACAACGGACCGGCCGCACTGGACATCGGTTGGAGAGGCCGATGTTCAGCAGTGGACAGTAGACAGGCTGAGATGATGAGCATACTAGTTCAAGGCCCACATGCTGTTAAGTGGTAATCGATGCCCGAAGACATCAAAGCGTGTATGCCGCAACTCACTTTGAGACAAGAGGTGAATCTGAATTATTTTGTAAACTAATTACCATTTTTAGTAAATTAGATTCAGGAGTTTGATTATTTTTGATAACAGTTTTATGATCTTATTTCCGACAACAATAAAACAACTCTCAGAGGGACTCGTGTGTTGATTCGGTTGCGAGAGAAAGAGGGAAAGTTTTTAGTCGAAGATTATGCAGATTAGGCAGATTACTCAGTTTTGGTTCCTTCGACTTTAAAATAATAATAATTGTGAAGTAAAACTGTTTCGCAACGCACTATAGGGACAGAACAGGAATTATATTTTTATTCTTGAGATGGGTACAATATGCACTTCGAGATCACTGCGACAGATTTGCTAATGAGAGCGGAAACAATATTCTATTACTGTAGAAAAACTAAACACGGATACTGGTTTTAATGCTTAGGGGGCCGGCAATAGAGTACCTATCGAAATTAAATATTTTCGGTATTAATAAATTATCTGTTTTACCCCTCTATACAATTAGATAAGTACAAAATAGTTGAGTACAATTATTATCTAATGTGCTTATTGATCAATATTGATGAGCTCTGACATGAAAAACATAAATTGAACCTATGCCTTTGTTATGTGAATTTTGGTAATTGTACGAACGCTATATTAACACTCGGCTGTAATAAATTGAAAAAAAAAAAACTAAAAAAACACGCTTCTCATCATTTTCTCATATTTTTTATCAAGCTGTTGATACTGGTCAGGATATCTGTGGGCATCTCTTGGGTTAGCGCCTAACCTGCTAATGATCTTCATATACCGCTTCACGTGGTAGCTAAAACCCTATAGATCAGGGTTGGCCAACTGGTAGATCGCGATCGACCGGTCGATCGTGGCAAGACAAAATATATAAACACACAGAACAGACTGCGCACCGTAATCACCAATTGCAGCTCCCATCATCTTTATCTTGTATCATTTGTTAATGACCATTACGTCACATTATTTATCCTCTCTTCTACACAATAGTTCTCTTTTATTATATAATTTCAGGTTTATTTTCATATTTTTAATAAAATAAAATATGTTACTTATTTGTATACTGAACTATATTGTTTCATTAAATTTCAAGAAAGGTCACAGTGTTCGTCAGTAGATCTTGGTCCTAATCAAGTTGGCCACCCCTGCTATAGACATTGCGTACAATAGGTAGACTTTTTGGCGGGAACGCGAGGAGTGAAGTTGTATGATTTGTTTTATTTTGTCTGTTTAGTGTTTCTTCGGGTTTAAATGTGTAATAACGGTGGTTTATTGACTGTTTAATATCTGTGAAAGTGCACAAATGTGGGAAAATGAAACAAAGCCGCTGGACGTAACTTCTCGGGATCCTCCAAAAAGTCCACTGAAAAAATAGTAAATGACCACCATTTTACTGAGATTATATTTCATCCCATTTCATTTCATTTAATTTCATCCCAGTTGATTAATGTCTCAAATTATTCATCTTCATATCATTTCACTCCATAATATCATTTTTCATAAAAATATGAATATAAATTAAAATAAGACATGACTTAAAGGTCTCAGTTACCAGGTCATAAAATCCCTTTTAAAAAAAATTGCGTGCAATACATACTCACACTTCTTCCTTGGCCAACACATTCATAAAGTATGTGATATATAGCTCTGTCAACTTATGACAGTCAAGGCGTTAGTAGCTTCCAAGCATTCCGACATGTGTCTATTTAAAACATTTAACGGTCTTATGTAATCTTACTCGTTGATTATATATGAGATAAGATAATTTAAGATACATATTGATTATAGATACATATATTGCTGCGATAAGATACATATTAAATTTATAATTCGTATCTTATTATAAGATCGATCAGAAGATTATTATAAGAGTGTCCCAGGGTGGGCCGGGACCCTGCTGCATTAGGCTCCTCACCCAATATCTCACACCTAAGGGTCGATGGTGTGAGATTAGTTTAGTAGGTGTCACAAATGCACTAACTGATCAGACATACGTGATTACCCACTGAATTTCTCGTCAGATTTTCTCAGTGGGTCGCAATTAAGATCCGGTAGTGGATTCTTTTTTTTTAATTCTTTTTTTATTGTTTAGATGGGTGGACAAGCTCACAGCCCACCTGGTGTTAAGTCGTTGCTGGAGCCCATAGACATCTACAACGTAAATACGCCACCCAAATTGAGATATAAGTTCTAAGGTCTCAGTATAGTTACAACGGCTGCCCCATCCTTCAAATCGAAACGCATTAGTGCTTCACGGCAAAAATAGGTAGGGTGGTGGTACCTACCCGTACGGACTCACAAGAGGTCCTACCACCAGTAAATCATTCAGCAGAGCACTGCTATTGTCCGTGTCCATTAGTCCGTGAACTCACCTATCAGTCCCCGCGAAGTTGGAATAGTCCCCTAGGGTCCCCATACCAAGGGGTATGTGGAAAAACAAGCCCAAGGGGCCCAAAAAAGGCCCATGGGCTACTAACGATTAGGTAGGGAAAAAAACGTGACTGTAGCCGTTTCTAATTATAATTTGTATTAATTTTGTGATTTATAATCGTAATAAATATTCGTGACTCGTTCTTATAACACAAGTTACATTTGGTTCGGAGGCCGAGGCCTTTGATATTTATTTTGTTGTACAAATACAGATACGATTTAGTTATGTGACATTCTTACAAGCAACTATCCTTCAAGAAGATGCAGCTTTGAGACTGGACCAGTTTCGAGTTTTGATCTATCTTTCTACGAATATCACACAGTTTTTTTAATATTGGTGGTAGGACGTCTTGCGAGTCCGCACGGGTATATAAGCCTGATGTATCTCTGGTTTCCACAATAAAAGGAATCCAAGCTTGGGGCCAGATAACCTTATGTGATGTGTTTCAGAGTCTTAAGGAAAATGATCATTAGATAGTATGAAAATCGAGGAACGCGTGTCATCCCCACTCGGTCCCCGCACAGTACTCCGAGGTCTCTCCGCAGTAATAAATCATTTATTTATTTTCTATTGCATAAATGGATGGAAGAATTTACGACCCACTTGGTGCTAATTGTTAACCGAAACCCATAGACCTTGAGACATGACACCTTGAGACATGAGACAAAACAGCTGCGCCACCCTTCAAATCAAAAGCCATTATTGCTTCACGCCAGAAACAGGCAGGGTGGTATCACGTAAGCAATAAAATAGGTCCATTAGGTTAGCAGCAGATACAAAAAGACAATGAAGGGCAAACCTAAGCCAGCTCAGCTAGGCCATATCATGTGACGATGTTCCATCAGTAATATACTGATAATGCCATTCTATGACCAACACAAGTTTTAGGCTGTGTGGTGTTGCTCTTCCACCAGGCCGTTCCATCCCCAAACCAGCAAACTAAACAGACCTCTGTCTTCGAAGCCTGTTATAATGCAAGGTGCACTCATGGATACCCAGTGTCTCCTTGCCAGTGTGAGAACGCGTTGCAAATCAACCGGTTCCATCTTTAGCGTAGCTTCATTTTTTATTTATTAAATAAAACAAAAATTCAATAAAACAATTAATTTAATCAGGTACTTGAACCAATTAATATAATTTTCCATTGTCCGGTCGGTACAAAGTGTATTTGGATGTTAATAATGCATTTGAGAATTTTTGAAAAAAAAAAAAAAGAAATAAAAACAAGATTCTCGTTTTGATATGAATTCTAGCAACAAAACTATGTGAATATTTATAATGTCGCAGACAGATTATTACCAAAAACTCGTGCATGTATACATTGAGTTACTGCGAATACTGTATTAAAGGTGTGATGAATCCAAGAATTTACCAGTAGCTCCTAGCTTTGTTCCATCCATGACCACCACTGTAGCCATGCCCACCGAAACCGTGACCGCCATAGCCGTGACCACTGTAGCCGTGACCGCCATACCCGTGACCGCTATACCCGTGACCGCCATAGCCCAGACCACTGTATCCATGACCACCGTATCCATGACCACCATAGCCCAGACCGCTATGATATCCTCCGGAAAAGCCGCCGTAGCCCGAGCTGTATCCTGGACTCGACCATCCGCTCTTGATGTAGCCAGCGGAGGCGGCGACCACCAACATGGCGAGGGTAACGAGGGAAGCCTGAAAATTTAATTAGGTAGTGCAGTAGGTACTTTCAAGAGTCATTGTGGCAGAGCAGACCCATCAATCAGTTCACTTCTTGTTCTTATTGAAAATATATTCATTCTTAAGGTTTTTTTTTTCCTACCTAAGCTGAGAGCCTTGAGAGGCTATATCAGCGTAGCCTTAACTAGTAGGTGAGCTCACGGGTCTCAAACCTGATGACGTTGCTAACACGAACCCTAGCAAGATCCGTGCTTCGCAGAATCTACCACCGGATCGGAAACGCGACCCACTGAGAAGATAAACTCAGTGGGCTGTGTCTGTGGGTTAATCTACTCGTCGAGCCCTTCGTCGCAAGCGACGGGTTCGACGAGGACGATGACCGGATTCTTAAGGAACATTACGTTAAATACCTACACTAAAAGTCCCCGATCTGTTTACTTTGCCAAAGCCTGAAGTCGAATTTAAAATAAAATTGCATTAAATTTAACAAAATGAAACATTCCAAATACATATTAATTAGTGTAATAAAATTCGTTAATTAGAAGCAAAATGCAACTTACGTAGAATCTCATGTTTTAGTTGTTGTAGTGTTTCGCAAGCGCACCAGACGCTCAGTACGAGGTGCGGGAGCATCTTCATCCTTTTATACGTGATGCTGGCCATCGCTCGAGTCCGCGTACTGGATAGCATTGTTCCGAACTTGTTTGTGTACCTGCATAATCGATGATTCATTATAATCCGCTAGATTTTGTTTATGGTTAGGACTGTTATTATTTTAATCTAAATTTGAAGGTCGAAATTCGATATCTTCTGTCGTTGCAGACGTATCGAGCGATGCAACGGTGTTCGAATCCCGATGGCGGATACTTGGATTCCAATTTTTGACTAATGAAATACGTAATTTATTTTTTTTTTTTTTTTTCCACAGGAGAAAATCGCCGGATCCCCACCCGCGCGGCAGGTGGGGTATGTGGGAGTTGAACCTCACTAAAAACTCCTGCCGCTCACAACCGGCGCCCTACCTCGGACCGGGCCGGAGCCCAGTCGGGGCTACTGAAACGGCGGGACAGGGTTGACGCAGAGCACATTACATCCATCCCACCGTCCCACGGACGCCGGACCGGTGGCCGCCAGCGAAACGACCACCGGTTCCCTCGTTCAGCGGGCCGAGAGCCCGCTTTGATGGCGCCGCGTTACACCTTCCCCCAGAGCGGTCGGGGGAACGCGGTCTACCATCACCCGGAATGAAATACGTACTTAACAAATGTTCACGATTGACTAACACGGTGAAGGAACAAATAACATCGTGTTATTACACGGGTTACAATTAATACAATTACAATTACAAAATTATAATTTGCGTTATTACTGGTGGCAGGACCTCTTGTGAGTGCGCACGGGTAGGTACCGCCGGCCTGCCTATTTCTGCCGTGAAGCAGTAATGCGTTTCGGTTTGAAGGGTAGGGCAGCCGTTGTAACTATATTGAAACCTTAGAACTTATATTATCTCAAGCGCATTTGCGTTGTAGATATCTATGGGCTCCAGTAACCACTTACCACCACCACCAATCGAAACAATAAAGAAAAAGACCTCCCGCATGTCCGTTTTGTATAATATCCAATATAACCACATAACTACAATTCCCTTCAGTAAAGTGATTGACAGAAAACAATTGAAATGTGTAGCGGGGGGTTATTATTAAATGATAGTAAAGAATGGCATAGCGGCTTATATTGTTGTTGTTGCTTAAGGCCCTTAGGGTCCCCCTGGTGAGGCAGAGGTCTCCAACAGTATTTCGACATCGGTCTCGGGCTAAGCGCTCTACTTCAGACCACGTCAGCCCGATTTTCTTCATCTTATATATTCATCACGATCTATGACGTCGTTACAATTAAATCCGTAAACATTGTTACAAGAATTAGGATTTTTATTCTCTTGCATCGCCAAAAGAAATAACTGTCCCTGGTGTTACACGGTTAGCTCAACAGATGATCAAAATCTCACATATCATAAGCTTTGGAATGGGCACGCCTCACAGACAGACTTCTGCTCTACTTGTCGTACTGCAAAGCTCCCTATAGACACATCCCACTGAGTTTCTGGCCGGATCTTCTCAGTGGGTCGCGTTTCCGATCCGGAGATAGATTCTGTGAAGCACGGCTCTTGCTAGGGTCAGTGTTAGCAACATTCCCGGTTTGAGCCCCGTGAGCTCACTTACACGCGTTAGGGTGAAGCTGAAATAGGCTCTCAAGACTATCAGCTTAGGTAAGAAAAAAAAGCAAAGCCAAGTAATGCGTGATGCCTTTGGGATACATTTCAATAGATTAATTATGCAGTTTTCATTTAACACAATATTATTCGTTCAGAGTGAATTCTCTTCATGGGCACGTACAGCACGAGGCGGTTATTCATAATCAGAAGATCTACTCCTCAAACTGGAAAGCATTAGGGCTTAGAAGCAGATTCTTCTAAAACATCTTATACGTAATCAACAAACATACAGCGCGACCTGCACGTTGTTGTTTATATCAGTTTTGTAAATTACTGCATGGCCTTCGTAATTTAAGTAAAAATGTGACTGATTTTCATTTCCTTGTGTTCTTGTCGGATTTTGTCACTTAGTTTTTAGTTCCTCGATCTAAGTGCTCGTGCTTCATGAGGTACTCTCGAATGAGAGCTTAAAGCTGTTATTAACATTTTGTTGAAGCGCATGTTCTACCGCGGGAGATGAATTACTAAGTGTCCATAGAGGTAACTATGTGCGATTCCCAAAGAAATTCAAATTGATAAAAACACGTAAAATTATATTTAAGTTTCTGCAGGTCGTATTTCATGAATTTACGTGGATCTAGTCATCTTCAGTCACTTCAGTCTAATAATTCGATTTGATATGCAGTTCAGGACATACCCGACTACCATAATGAAAAAAAGGGCAATGATTTTAGTGAATTTAAAAATTTTACAGTTAAAAATTAATTAGCTAGATTAGATTAGTCACAAGGTAGTTTATAAATTAGCGATTATAATCTGGTCGATACGAATTTCCTTAAAACGATTATGTAAAAATATACAAAAAATCAAGGTATTTTTTTTTAACTTAGATGTTGCAATTTTTCGTAACCCACTAACGCCACGTCGTGAATACCGTTACCCACCTTGAGACGTAAATCCGAAATCCCAATTGTATTGTACAACCGCTGACTCATCTTCCGGACTGGATCTCGTCAGTTTGATTTGGCAGAAATAGACAGGATGGTGCTGCGTCGTGATGCTGTGCGGAGTCTTAAAGAGTTATTACTTTTTTTTTGTTTTTTTTTTTCTTAGATGAATGGACGTGCTCACAGCCCACCTGGTGTTAAGTGGTTACTGGAGCCCACAGACACTTACAATGTAAATTCCACCACCCACCTTGAGACATAAGTTCTAAGGTCTCACTTTTAACAGTACAACGGCTGCCCCTCTCTTCAAGCCGAAACGCATTACTACTTCACGGCAGAAATAGGCAGGGTGGTTGAACCTACCCGTGCGCACTCACACCACGTCGTACCACCAGTACCAATAATTTGAGACGTTGATCCAAAATCCGCATGATATTGTACAACCGCTGTTTCATCCTTCGGACTGGATCTCGACAGTTTTTTTTCGCGGAAGTAGGCCGGGTGGTGCCGGACCGTGATACTGTGGGGGGCCTTAAAGAGTCATTACGTCTTACGTCCGGGTGCACGCACTAACATGGCGGCTTTAACATTTCAAAAAGCTGATTTAAACGACGTATCTAGTTTTAGATTTTATCTGAAATACCAATGTTTTAAGCAGGTATAATGTGTAAAAAGTAGTTCTATTAGCGGTCCTGGTATGACTTTATGTTGACATATAGAAATAAAATGCCAAACGGGACCATGTTTTATTTGATCCATTTTACATGACTTCATTTTATTAGTTTTCTTATTGCGATAATAAAATTTTAATAGAGATGATGTTTGAATAAAGCATGACACAATGATGTTCCGTCTTGGTGCTACATAGGCAACGAACATTACAAATAACATTTCGACGTTATTTGTATATTTAAGGGCTCCGTGAACTTCTGTGAGCTCATCGCCGTCGAAAAGGAGTAATCCTCGAGTTCCTAGTCAATTGTACTCAGTGGTGTAACTATTTTCCGAATCGATGGTAAAGCTATAACGAATCCATAACTCAGTGAGCTGTCTTATTTTATATTTTACTAGCTGACCCGGCAGACTTCGTAGTGCCTCAATCGACAAATAAAAGACCTAAACTTTTGTATAAAATGAACTTCAAACAAACAAAAGGAATCCGTTCGACGGGGAACACATCAAAGTACAAACAAAATTGTTATTTTTATTTCATTCCAAGCATTTTCATATTTATCTACCTTTTAAACCTTGACTGGACATCCACAAACAATTCAAGACCAAAATTAGCCAAATCGGTCCAGCCGTTTTCGAGTTTTAGTGAGACTAACGAACAGCAATTCATTTTTATATATAATATTATAGATAGAAGATATATATTTTATTACTGGTGGTAGTACCTCTTGTGAGTCCGCGCGGGTAGGTACCACAACGTTGTAGATGTCTATGGGCCCAGTAACCAATTAACATCAGGTGGGCTGTGAGCTCGTCCATCCATCTAAGCAATAAATAAAAAATCAACCTATTTAAGAACTGATACACTGACTGTCCCATTTCATAAGACAGTAAATATAAGACAGTGAAGATGTTTTTAGATGAGTACACGTCTCGTCTGGTGGTAAGTAAGGACCGACGCTTATGAGCATTAGTAAAACCAGAGGCAAATCCTTTTGAAGGTGACTAGGTTATAGCGGTTATGTGACATCGTGGAGGGGAGTTAATCCAGAGCCAGATTTACCCTGTAATTATCATTTACTTGATTAGAGAAACATCAATCGAACAACAAAGGTCTGCCTTATTTTTTATTTATTTGCGTAGATGGGTGAACAAGCCCACCCGGTGTTAACTGGTTAAATACCGCCACCCAACTTGCGAGTTCTAAGGTTCTATGTCAGCACATCCAACCACCGTAACGGCTTCACTTATTGTGCAGTCAAGCACACACAAAGACAAAAACAATAAACGTGTTTACGACTTTATTATAAATAACTAGACAATATAATAATATGTTTTGTCACATTCAGTCCTAAATAAATAAAAAGGCTTGGATGGATTCTATTAACATTTTTATTAGGTAAGATCGGCACGGTCTTCCTGGTTGTAGCTAGTTCCTGGAGACATCCGCCACCCTTGAGACTTCAATTCTCTGTCCCAATTGTACAGTTACTACGAATTATAACGTTTGTGGGTTTGATTTTTATTACAGGATGTTATTAGACATTCATGACCTTGTTTTAAGTATGTATTTCATTATAAAATATAGTACCTAGCTAGGAAATACAATACATAAGGTAGGGTCAATGATAAAAGATCTCGTGGACGAAGCCTCGTGCACTGGACTGACCAAGTGAAAGACCTTACCGTAAAAGTCCACTTAAGGAGTGCGTGTGCCCAGCCTCAGCTCGCGAACTACGGAGAACAGCTGTCAAGGCTTTAATAAACAAGGATTCCACATGACCACGACTTATCTGCCAAGAGTAGCCGAATATGATGACCTGACTGCAGGATGT